AAAATAAAAATCACACCCACGGCCCTCTTCTTCCCCAATATCACACCATATGCTGCCTACAAGTTTCTACCTCTACTCCAAACAGATTTCACGTTTTAATAACTTAAGGGTAGGCCAACTGCCAATGAAATGATATGCATCCAAATGTATTAATATGCACAAATTATTGCCAGTGAATTGGCACAGAGCAGTTCCAACAATCTACAACACACAAGACACTCCACATGCTGTTTACACATTTTCCTAGTTCCAGTATAGAGTATAGCTACCTTCTGTCCATGCAAGGCCCACAGCTAGCTGCAAGTTTGAAGAAATGGAAAAGCAGGTCACAATACATCAGTTCCAAGACCAGCTGCATCATACTTCTGTTTTTTGGCCTACTGGCCTTGCTGGAAACTCTGTTCTATACCCAGCAAGTAGGAACTATATAGGAGGTGAAAATTCAACATTAAATCTATGCTTATTCCATTTTTTTAAACATCTGCAGGACATGCCTTGTTCTATTATGAGCATTGTTGGGTTCTCGGCTGTAACTGGGAAGGACTGATGTTGGCTACATTCAAGGGTACACCTGCAGTGCACATTGCAACACAGCAGAGATGATCTCAAGCTACCTCAGGTGATGGAAGCAGTTCAGCAACAGTAGCAGGAAGCTCCATACAGTCTCCTCTCCTCTGCTTCTGATTTAGAGCTAGCTTGCATGCCTCTACACTGTGCAGCATTACGCATTGCAGACACTCATGCAGCGTCAAGAACGGCTTGCCTTCTGAGAATTACTGGAAGTTGTATGTGTCTGACAAAACAATGACAGAAGATAAGTGCTTAAGCCTGTTTAGAGAGAAGACTGATTTTTCTTTAGAATCTAGTGACCAGTTAGTTCTAGCATGCTTGCTGGCCACAAGGTTCGTCTACCAAAGGACAAAATTTGCATGTAGGCCACTGCACATTTAATAAGCATTACTTGTAACAATTCATGGTTTAAGTGTTAAAATTATTATCTACCGGTTTACAAAACTTTGTACTGCTACAACTGCTTCCAACACCAGTAACTCTCATCCTAAGCACACCACTAGATACACCATCTACCTACAGCCAAGCTCTACGTTACAATTGTATCTGCTCTGAGCCCACTGGTCAGGATGACCACCTTAAGGATCTGGAACAGGGATTCCTACACTTACCATACAAAAACTGTACCCACTAATATCAACAGAGCTAAACTTGGACTCTACTTTGATCTGCCATAATATCGATCCTAAAATGATGACAACAAAATCACTTTCATTGTCACCCACAGCTCCCAGCTTGAACACTTTGGATACATCATTAATGATGTCCAACCCCTCCTGGAAAATGATGACCACCTCACGATAGCCATGGGGGACAAACCTATCCTGATTTACAGGTAGCCCCCAACCTCAAATGACATGTCTCCAGCAGCAGACTACCCAACTCCTTTCACCAAGGCACCAGACCTTGCTCCAGACCCAGATGTTCCTCATCAACACAAACCACATTATCACCAGAGCAGACAACATAGAGGATAACATCTGAAGTTCATTTACCTGCACCTCTACCAACATCACATATGCCATCACTTGCTTACAGTGCCCCTCTCCTGTCTCCACTGGACAGATGGGGCAATCCCTACGTTCGAATGAATAAATGTCGATCTGACATCAATACGAGAAGGATGGATGAGCCTGTGGCAGAACATGTTGACCTCCCTGGACAGTCCATTGCTGATCTTAAACAAAACTTTAAAAATGAACTTGAATGGGTAACTGCAGAACAAGAAATCACCTGCTGGATTGTGTTAAGTATGGTCTACACAGAGACTATAGATATTATCCCATTAGCTGAATTAGCTTTTATAAGGCCTAATGTCCCTCAGTGGGTTCACTGCTTTGTTCTTCTCTCCCCTAACCACCTTGCCTCCCTCAGCAGTGCCCCTCCTTTTCTGCCCCTGCTTCCCTA